ATGGTATGAATGCCGGATGCTCTGGCTGCAAACCACAGGTTCTCAGTAGAGCTGATGGAGAACCTGCATGGGTATCAGGTTAAACGCACTGCTTATAATGAGAAGAGGGTAGGAGGACAGCCCACACACCCTGGGCACAACAAGCAAACTAAAAATGCAGTCTGCCATGGTATATTGTCAGGGTACTCCAAAGGAGCCAAATCTGTGACACCATTTTCTTTTCATGTAGTTCATGTAATTCATGACTACTTTTTGCTCCATAATTTATATGATCTCCTTCTATGTTTTCAGATCATTATGGGTAGAACTTGAAGTATATGGACTGGGATAGCGTGGATCAGATAGTGTGAAAACTTAGCTGGGGATTTTCAGTAGAGCTGCAGAAGATATTTGAAGTGGAGGTAATATTTGCAAGAGATATGACAGCCAATTCACCTAGAAAATTGCTGTAGAAAAACAAATTTTACCTTATGTAACCTCCATTATGCCCAACAAGGAATCTTATTGAGGACCAGATCCTGCTCACTTTGAAGAAAATGGAAAACTTTCCATTTGCTTCATTGTGGAGGATCAGACCCACAGGGAATCTAGTTTGTTTCTGTAAACAGGATAAAGAAGTAAAAGAAACATCTGAGGCAACTTGTAAGAATTTCCTGGCAGTGTAGGTACCAATAATTAACAAGTAAAAAAACCCTAATACTTCATACAAAAACATTTTAATCCACATTTGCTTTCCTCTGTCTGTACTTACTTCTCATGCACTAGAAAGAGAATTGTGAAATGTTTGGCAAACAGAAAGGACTTTGGTCTCAATTCTGTGTTCTGTCCATGTGCACTTTCTGCTTTGTAAACTTTGTATGTTCTAGAAGCACCCCTGGACTCAGTTAAAATGTGTTGTCAAAGCAGATCCTAAACCTGACAGCTCTTACTAACTTTGTTGGAGCTTAATAAAGAAATAATATACTGTAGAGCAACTCATAACTTTGTACATCTTGCAACAGAAATACCTGGGACAAGATTATGTTCCATTGCATCCAAGGGTAGAAGGAGATTAGATGTATTCAGGTGGCCAGGTCCTGGCAGTATTTCCTTTATAACAGCATATTAATGCCCTCCATTTAAAAGAAAATGTTTCTCTATAGTTTCTGTGGCAAAATGCAATCTCAATAATTTCCCTCACTGACACAGAAACTAGTTGTAAGAGTTTGAATAATACAGGCTGTGAAATTCAGAAAGGAGACTTTTGTCCTTAGCTATCACAAGAAGCAATTTAAGTTGAGTATGACATCTCCATATCGCCTTTTTTTGGTCTGAGGAAAGGGAATAGAAAACAAGAAAACATCACTGTCAATAGCAACAAACTCCAAATTCAAGATATGTTTGTCCAGAAGTTTTTTGCCTATTGTTAACAGCTCCCGTCTTCGTTTCTCAAAGTTTTTCCCTTGTCTGACATGATATTCTCAGTAGTTAATAAGGGAAGTGTGAACTGGATAAATTGTGTTGAGGTGGTGCGTGGCTTGTTCACAAAAAACCCATATTGAATACTGGTTTGCTGCAAAAATAAGAAGTCGAAGGACATTTCCACTGGATCCTACGGAAGTCTACTTTGAACTTTGCTGTACTCGGTATTTTCACAAATGACTTATGACCAGAGAGAACATGCATGAAACTATCTAGGATTTCAAGCCATGAGAATGATGTATCATTTGGAGGTCGGCTTTGCAATTTTCAATTTTCTTGTATCCATTTGTTTCTAACACTCTGTGGCAGCGTCTGTGCTGGTACTTCTCATAGAGCTGCACTGCTTATTGGCAGCCTCAGTAAAGAATCCAGAAGCTGAATGGGTTGTCATGACTGAACTGATAGATCCACGGATAAACTGATCATTGACAGATCTTCTAGGAGTCATAGATCATCTAGTCCCTCCCAAATGGTGTTGAAAAGTGTTGGTTCAAAAGTGTCAAGAAATTTGCTTTGGTTTTCTCCATTATTTAGCCTCCATGTAGCATTAGCAGTATTACAAATGGAACAGATTTATTTCAAGAGTAAGAAAAGCAGACTTAAAAGCACAATTATGTCTCTTCCAAGACCTAAGTGCAGAATGATCTCAGTTTGGGGGCCTATCCCATGGAAAACAATTACACTTGTTTTCTACATGAACTTGCTTTTGTTTTTGTTAACTACAGAAAATAAATACATCGTAGGAGGACTCTGAACTCTTAAGAGACCAAAATGCTTACTTAATCCTTTCTGTGGAGGTCTGTATTTTTCCAGCATTTTATTTAATTACTTGACAGCAGCCCAGCAAACATGAAACTGCTCTGCCTTCATGCTGTGACATCACTCACACTGGCCACATTAAAAACTGTTTGTCTTGAGACTTGGTCTGCCCATGTGTTCGTTAAATATTAGATACGACCAGTGGAATGAATCAGATTATTTCTGGACATGCAGATTTTGTTTGTAACATCTCTTTTCCCTATCCTGTTTTTAGTCATCATGCGACTGAAACTAGTGCACTTCCCCTGTCTCTGCCAAGAAATTGCAAGATGACAAAGATTTTTTTTACAGTATAGTTTCGCTGATATGAAGTGTGTCATTGGTGTTCTCCACTCAACAGCAAAGGCCTTTTCCTTCTGCATGTAGGCAAGGAGATTACCATATTGTAAGATGCAAAGCTATACACTTATATAAACTCCCTCATGTTAGCTTTGTAAACCAAATCCTGGCATCTGTACCTGTGTGAACTCTCCCTTCACCACTGCAATGTCATCATTGGTAATTATTAGATAAAATGTAAAAGGATCCAGGAACCTGGCTCTTCCAGGAGTGGATTTTCATTTGAGAAAGAGCTAGGGTATAATGACTAAAACACAGAAAAGAGGAAGAAAATACCATGATCATCTTTACTCCAGACTTGTATGACTGGAGAGTAGAATTTTAAATTTTAACCACCTGAGGTTTCACACTTATCTGGTTAGTCTAAAAATGAAGGAAGGATGTGGTAGGAACCTTCCACTCATATCTGTAGAATGAGGACCAACCGCTCTCCATGATCATTGCAGGAGAGGAGACAGGAAGGAATCACCTTAATTTGTAGCAGAGATTATTTAGGCAGGCAGTAAAGAAGAGCTTTCAAAATGTCAAGATGGGAACAGGTACTGAGGGTCGCTATCAAATCTCCCTCATCAGAGACTTTCAAGAACTAGTTCAACAAGCGTTCACTAGTGAATGGCTCAGGTATGCTTGATCATACCTTTATGTGAGAACTCAGACACTTATGGTCTTTTCCAGCCCTCATCTAGGATTCTAGAGCAAGTTAAAGCTCTGGAAAGCTTTTCTGACTTTTCTTACTGCTGCATTTGAATCCTGCTTAGGCAAAGACTTGCTAATATCTGTGCCTGTGCGAATGATGTGATGCATCCACCCTCTTGTCTCCTGGGATGTGAGTCACTCATGAAGTGCATTTCATCAAAACTGTTTCACCTTCTGCCCCATGAAGTCATTGATGGCACAAAAGGATTCTATTCCCTTGTGACTAGTGGGGAAAAAAACCCGAAGTCATAGTTTATAACATTTATGCCAGTAATGTACACAATATTGTGTTTTCCTTTTCTCATGGGCAGAGTGTTTATCCTTCTACCAGCTGTATCCATTTAGCATGTTACTCATGTATTTGTTTTCACTGTGGGTATATTTAACAGTTTTCAATAGGGAGGATGCACTCTTTAAAAAGCTTTTCTCTCTTTTTCTGAAGTGAGTCTATATTTATAGTTAACTGAACCTGATAATATCACCTAGTGCTGAGTACTGTAGCTGAATCTTAGATTTATACCACAGATGGAACTGATTCAGAAATGATTTTGCAAATATTGTGAAACTCATATAGTCCTAATTATCTCACAACATCTACCTCTGAACCTAGAAAAGCTGAAAGGAAGATAGTGAATACACATTCCAGAAGAAAATAACCCAAAATGTTGATTGTACTGTAAATCTAAAGGGACAGAAATTAGCTGAGGATGTATTTCTTGAGTCTATTATGTCAGAGTGCACCAGGGACTAAAGTTCTATGGGTTATTTTGGTTTTCAAAACCCATTACAGAGGCAGACAGCCTTTTGTAACCAGTGGAGCCATTGACTAGTTTAAAGTGTCTTGAACTCTGTGATGTATATGTTTAGATGTACCTGGATATTTGGTTTGCATCATTTCCCTGTAACTGTTATTACAGTTGTCCTATACAATACTTGCAGCTAAATCAAAAAGGAGACAACAGTCATTCCCCTGAATCTCAACTTCTGAGTATGCATACAAACACAACTCACATCTGCACATCCAGGGTCGAACGCAGATAAAAAACTGAACAGGGAGGAGCTAGTCATAGTACTATAGAATGATCTTCCTATTAGGTTTGACTTCCTTTTTTAAAAAAAATATTCTCACTTATTTTAAGCTGAATGGGTAAAAGAGCGGGGGAGTGGAAATTATTTTCACATCCTGAACACTGCTGTCTGTTCTAGTAACAAAACCACAGAAGGCTGAAAACCTAAAAGTAAAGGCTGAAACGCTAAGTATGGCAGAACTGCTCATGTCTCAAAAGCTCAGGAAATCTGAGATTCGAGATCTGATGCTGAAGTTCTGGTCAAGGCAGTCTTTACATGAAAGAGATCAGTTCAATTCTGTGCAGGCATATAGGTAGGAGATGTCATTCTCTATATTTGGGGGTGGATTTCTGTTCCAATTACAAAGCCTCTTCACAATTTATAGATATTTTGAGGTCCCGAGTTTTTAGAAGGACCCACACATGGAACTGCAGCAAAGGTTATAGGAAATCTTTTCCCAGAGTGGTTTGGGTTTCACTACCATGGATGGACAGTGCTTCCCTTTCTTAGACAGGCTTAGGGAGGCTTGGACAGGATCATACACAAAATGTACAGGTAGGCTGAGAAAGCACAAGCAGGTAACAAGTCTAGAAAGTTAGCAAATGTCTAGAACTCACCACGTTCTCCATGACTCCTGTCCTGTTGGCAAGCTCACATTCCTCTGCATGCCCATTGCAAAAGCAGCTTCCCCGAACGATCAGGTCATAAATAGCATAGTGAGCAAATCTCTGAGGTTTTTCTACCAATCCTGAACCATGGCATGGACATTCCTGCCTTTTTAACAAAAGGAGGCGGAGGTTGGTGAGTTTCAGGAGATCTTGAGCCTCAGGACTATAGGGGTCTTCAATCTTATTAGCTGGACTTAAGGCACGATAAATCACCTGAAAGACAGAAGATACACATCCAAGAATATTTACAGGACTCTGCATACACAACAAACATCCCAAGGCAACGTTCAGGAAAAAGTAATAGTTCTTATTTAGAAGACTCTACATAAACAGCTGTGGGGCTGTGACTGATCCACAGCTGAGTTTCCACCTGTCTGCAGCATTTTCTGTTTGGCTCTGTTCCTTTTTCTTTTAATTCCCTTCTCTTGCACTGTCAGCTACTTACAAAGCTGCAAACATCCCTGTTTGGTGAGACTGTGGTGCCCATATTTCCTTGGTTGATAGAGCTATGGGCAAATTGCCCGGGTTGTGCAATGCAGGTGCCTACATTCCCCTGACCAATGAAGCCATGACAAAATAGCCCAGGCCTTTCCACCCCAATGTCTACATTCCCCCAGTCAATGGAACCATAAGCAAATGGCTCATTCTGTTTTGTGCAGCGGCCAGTTCCCCTAATCCAGGGTGGTCTGATCTTTTTAGTGGAAACCAGTTTCATGAACCCTCCCTCCTTCTTCCCAGTCCCCTGTGGACCACACAGAGGTGGAGTGTTTTCCCAGAGTCCTGAGCACCTGGTTGTATATAGGTGCCCACATCTTCCTCCCATGTGGTCAACTAATCTAAGACCAAGGCACTGAACTGGATGGAATTGTTCTGCAGAGCTGGCTGAGCTCAGAGGTCTCAAAGCGGGGTTAAAAACTAAGTACTGGCATATTAATTGTTTAAAGTCCTTGTGAAACTCTTTTAAATTGGCATAAAACAGAGAAACCAAGGGTAAAACAGTCTGTTCAGCTACTGTTTTTTATAAGCTCTGTTCTCACACTTAGCTTTCTTGTCAATGGCTTCTCTAATAGATATGTTTAGTAAAATTAATAAAAGTTTACATTAATAAATTAAATTAATACATAAAAAAAAAAAATCTCCTTTCAGGTTAGCTCTCCAGAGGATACCTAATAGATCACTGGCTTGAGAACATAAATACTAGAGGTACGTTACTCCAGAACGAGACATCTGAAAAAAGGTAAACAATGTGTCATTAACTTCTGCAAGATCTGCACTGGTCCTGCCACTGACCTGGGCAAGAGGCTTAATATCTCTGGGCCCCAGAGATCCCAGTTGTGAACAGCTCTAGATCTCCTCACAGGAGACAGAGAGCAAGGGTGAATAAGGTAAAGAAAAAGAGTTTTTACTGGGCCTCTCTGAAAAAAATGGCTAGATAGGGGCCAAAGTGTTTCTTTTTATTCTGTGTGTCTGGCATTTTACTTCTGCTTGATGACAATAGTCTTGCATTGTGCTGTGTTAACTGCAAAGGAAATCTTGTGTATTGTATTGCTCTGCTAGAAACCTATTTTGTATACAGTATGATAAGTTTAAAGAGATGGATTCATGTTTTGAGATCTCCAGTCAATTATCCATCCTCCCCATGTCTTAATTGGCATCCAGATAGCACTGAGTTCTTTAAGCAAAAGAACAGCTGTTGGGTGCTCTTCTCTCAGCATAGGGCCATTTGCTTTCACGAAGCTCTATTGCTTTTTGTTTCTTTGCTTGACAGCTTGGAAAAAGGTTGGGTTCCCTGTGGGTTTATTGTTTTGCAAATGTTCTCATTTCTGGCCTTGCATCTCTTGAGGGGAGTTGCTTTGGCATTTTCCATATCCCCTTAGAACTCTGAACATTATTTGTGAGTAGAGACATCGATAGCTTGGATGTCCCATAGGGATTGTGGCATCCTTTTAAGAAAAAAGCAGAATTCCAGTCCAGTTGAGATACAAGAGTTTGCTTGTATGATTAATTCATGACACGTTTCTGTCTGGAGTACGCTCAGTGGTGAGACTGGATTTGTTTGTCCTTATCTCTCCCAAGGCAAGACTTGTTAAGTGTTAAAGATCTGATTTGGGTGACATAACACTAGTGAAGTCTTTTGGGAGTGGCATTTTTATGGTCTTCTTGAATTCAACAGCCACTGAGGAATTAGCCTTCCTTAACTTTATAAAAATCAAAGATATTGAGGATTTACTTAAACAAAGACATTTTGTATCAGCAGGATCAAAGCAGGTATGTTGTGCCAATATAAGCAGGTTTAGGTGAGCTGCATTTTGCACAGAGGTAGCACAGATTTATTTCATGTTTAAATCAGTTTAGCAGCATTAGTTCTTATATGCATAAAACTGGAAAACGGAATTTTCCTCTCTCTCTGCCCTTCTGGAGGACACATTTGCCTTGAAATATTGGTGGTTAAAATCCTTGAGCACAAGGAAGCGTATAATGTAATCATCATCTCTCAGCTCATTTTGATTGAATGTTTCTTCTCACATTAAAGTGCAAGTGCCAGTTGTCAGATATTCCTTAACATATGTGTTGCCCTACTGTCAAGAGCAATATGTTACAATCCATAAGTTATACCTATTAGTCTACTGTGTGTATTGATTCAAATAATGGTAGAGTGGGATGAATTTTTACAACAGATTTGGTATCTCACCTTACATGCCTGAATTTTTTTCCATAAATGCATAATTAACCCCAAAAAACCCGCAAACCAAACCACTAAACTTTTTTCTGTGCTCAGAATACATTATTACATTTTAAATGAATGTATTTGGTTTTATGGTTCCCTAATAAAAAAATTAAACCTAAATTAGGAGACAGATTGGTGGTGGTTGTATATATGGGTTGAAAATTTTATATGCTACAGTGAAGAATTTTATTTCTGTAGAAAAGGAAGAGATGTCACTGTGACCAAAATACAGAGTTGGGAATGTGACCATTTGTTCAAAGCCCCACTGCAATTGTTCAGTATAATTTCCAGCAAGTAACTTAAACCTTATGCTATTCTGGTTTGCCAGGGAATTCAGTAGGAATAGGAGAAGTCTGTTGTATGCCCTGTTTACTTTTTTAAAAAATGCAATATAGGTATTCCAGTATTTTGTGGAATGGAAGGAAAATTAATCAATTTATATCTGTAAAATTGTCTGAGAATCCCTAGAGATGGAGGTTCAATACATGCAATTTTAATAATAATGGGTGAAAGGAAAGAGTTTGGCTGTCTCATCCATTTCTGCGTAAATGTTTTAAAGATTAGAAATAAACCTAAGTATTTGTGAACTCAGAGACTCATGAGCTGCAAGAAAAGACACTCCATCTTTTCACTGTTTTTTTTTTTCCTTTTTTTTAGTTAACAAGGTTTGTGTTTTGAAGCCTATGAAGCAGATTCCTTCTATACAGATAGACATTTGACTTCTGCCTGTTGCAGAAAGGCAGAAACATGATTAATTTTTCATTTCCCAGAGATACTGTGCAAATTTGCAGTTTTCCATTATATTCATGTAAAAGACGTAGAGAGTGTAATGGAAAAGAAGTGTGTTCTTATAATTAAGATGCTCTCATAAATTAAGATAATTAAGAAGCTCTGAAAAGAGCTTCCTATGATGTTCACTGTAAAGCTATTTCTCATCTAATTAAATCTCTATCTGGTGTCAAGCTCCATGGAAGCTCTATTCTTTTTTTGCTGTAACAGACTGCTCTGAAATCTCCAAGGCATTTTTCTAAACTTTAGTGTACAGCTTTCATAAAAGTAACATTTGCACAGCTGCAGAAGAAAATCCGATAGTGATTAAGCCTGCGAAGGGACATCCTAGAAATCTTTCCACTTCTATTGAACTGAGTAGAAATTGAAGGTATTCAGCACCTCTATAGTCTCAACCCTTTGTGGAAATACATCCTAGATCCTGAGTTTCCCTTATAATCAGGAGCTGACACTGGAGGTGAATGCTGAGTAGGATATTCGGGCTTATCTGCATAACTGCTATCAAGCGCATATTTGTCATTCTTATTTTCAAAAGTCAATCAGCTGCTCCTCAAAATGATGATCACTCCCCTGTCCTCTCCTGACCTCTCTAAGAGCAAAGAAGTTTGGAGAAAACTGTAAGTGTGCAAGGCTAAAAAAGGTAGTCGCTGTTAGAGGATTGGTTTTGCTGCCCACAAGTTGACACAGCTTCACAGCTTCATGATGTTTTATCACCAGTCAAGAGATCGTCTTTATTCCAGAGACAATGTCTCAGATTTTTGATTTCTTGCCATATGTTTTGCTTTTCTGTTCCCGATGCCGACAATTCTGTTTTCTTAACCTGATCTTCCAGACAGTATTAGTCAGAAAAGATGTGGACACAACAAAGGTTCCCCCTCGCAAGCTCATAGCCTAAGGTCAAGGAATATGAGTCATAAATGGAGGGCAGTGCCAATGCATGGCCTCCTACAAAAGAAGATCCTTTTGCAGAACAAGAATTTGATATTACAGATCATCCTTAAGCTATGTTGATTATGTTGCACACAATCAGGTTAATGAGATCTGAAATGTCTGTGTGCTTATACTAGGCCCATCAGAAGGAAGCTGCAATAAAAACTCTCATCAGTCCTAAATCCTCTTCATTAAGAGGTTTTCATGTGAGTTGATTTTGCTCTTAAAGGAATAGTAAACAATTGTCTCAGAATTTTTCCTACACAGTGGCAAATATCCTCTGGTGTATTTGATGACAATGATACTGAAGACAGTGGCATCTTGAATTAATTTTGTGTTTTCCAAACCAGAAAGAGGCAATGTCCCTTCAATTTGCATTTGCTTTGAGGTTATTCCAGTAATCCGGTCAGTGTGGCGTTAATATTAATATTTAGGCATTGCTGCCAATATGATGGTGGGGAAAGACTGCACATTTAAAGGTAGAGGCAGACAAATCTGAAGAGCCATGCAGACTTTTTCTCTTCCTCACACAAAATGTCTTCTGTAGGTTCAGGTTATCCACAGATGTAAATCTCTATGTCTGTGTAGAAAGGGAAGGTTTGCAGGGAGAAGCAGTATCTTCTATCAAGCCTGGTAATGTAGTTGGAATACAAAATCTAGACCATTGGGTACAAAACCTTCAGCTTGGAGTCTGTTTACAAGGGATGGACAAAATTGCTTCCATTCTACATAGCACCACCTTACCTGGGGATGTGAGAACATTTCC